CTCACCTGTGCATCGACGCGTGAGCGCGTGGGTGACCAGGTGTGAGTGCTGCAGTGTCTCCTCGCGTTTGAACGTGGCCTTCATCTGAGCGAGAGTGCTACGCTACCCGCAACCCACCTGTCCTTCTACGCATGAGCGCGTGCGTGACGAGGTGCGGGTGCAGAGTCTCCTCGCGCTTAAAGCCCTTGACCAAGGTGCTCCTCGGGTATCTACCCCGCTCATTCACCTGAAAGGCTACGTGTCAGTGCAACTGTGACGAGCTGGGCTCACAGGATCACCCACCTGTCCTTCGATGCGTGAGCGCGTGGGTGACCAGGTGCGGGTGCAGCGTCTCCTCTCGTTTGAACTTGGCCTTCATCTGCCGCCGGGACCGCTTGGGGAAGAGCGCCTGGAGCATCTCAAAGTCCGTTCCGAACTGCTGAAGTGCCTGTGTTGGGGCAGCAGAGGCATGAGAACAAGGCAGAAGGAGTCCGAATGGGGGGAAAAGGGCAGCAGGGGAAGAGCGCCTGGAGCATCTCAAAGTCCGTGCCGAACTGCTGGAGTGCCTGTTGGAATAGGGGGATAGGGGCACAAGGCGTAGGCATACAAAGGGACAGAGGCGGCAGGAGGGGTAAGGACGGAAGCGCAGCAGGGGAAGAGCGCCTGCAGCATCTTAAAGCCTGTGCCGAACTGCTGCAGTGCCTGCAGGGGTGGTGGCCGCAGAAGTGGGGAGGGGAAGGGATAGGTGGGTCATAAGGGAAAGCGGCACAAGCACAGCAGGGGAAGAGAGCCGGCAGCATCTCAGAGTCCGAGCCAAACTGGGTGCATAAGTGTCTCCTCTCTTAACTCACCAAGTACCACTGGGCCGTCTCGTCGACACTCCACCGATCACTCCCCTCTCTTCATGTGAGTGAAGTAGTTGAGCCGAGCCGTGCTCTCCTCTACCCTCCTCGAAGCTGTGCCATACCACACTCACCTACGCACACTCTGAGATCCCTCACTCACTCACCAGGTACCATTGAGTCGTCTCGTCCGCAGTCCACCTGTCGCTCTTCTCTCGCTTCATGTGGGTGCCGTAGTTGAGCCGAGCCGTGCTCTCGTCTACCCTCCTCCGCGTCATCTCGTCCTTCACATGCTTCTAGGTCCCTCACTCACTCACCAGGTACCACTGGGTCGTCTCGTCCGCGCTCTACGGGTCGTTCTTCTCTCTTTTCAGGGTTAACCATGGTGGAAAAAGCCTTGCGAGGCAGCGGTTCTGAAAAAGCTCGAGCTGAAGGGATGTTCAGGAAGTTTTTGATGGAAAACCAGTGATGAACTAGTTTCGGCTTATACAAGCCTTCATTAGCATCTAAGGGGAGTCGAGCCTTCATGTGGGTGCCGTAGTTGAGCCGAGCCGTGCTCTCGTCTACCCTCCTCCGCGTCATCTCGTCCTACACATGCTTCTAGGTCCCTCACTCACTCACCAGGTACCACTGGGTCGTCTCGTCCGCGCTCTACGGGTCGTTCTTCTCTCTTTTCAGGGTTAACCATGGTGGAAAAAGCCTTGCGAGGCAGCGGTTCTGAAAAAGCTCGAGCTGAAGGGATGTTCAGGAAGTTTTTGATGGAAAACCAGTGATGAACTAGTTTCGGCTTATACAAGCCTTCATTAGCATCTAAGGGGAGTCGAGCCTTCATGTGGGTGCCGTAGTTGAGCCGAGCCGTGCTCTCCTCTACCCTCCTCCGCGTCATCTCGTCCTACACATGCTTCTAGGTCCCTCACTCACTCACCAGGTACCACTGGGTCGTCTCGTCCGCGCTCTACGGGTCGTTCTTCTCTCTTTTCAGGGTTAACCATGGTGGAAAAAGCCTTGCGAGGCAGCGGTTCTGAAAAAGCTCGAGCTGAAGGGATGTTCAGGAAGTTTTTGATGGAAAACCAGTGATGAACTAGTTTCGGCTTATACAAGCCTTCATTAGCATCTAAGGGGAGTCGAGCCTTCATGTGGGTGCCGTAGTTGAGCCGAGCCGTGCTCTCCTCTACCCTCCTCCGCGTCATCTCGTCCTACACATGCTTCTAGGTCCCTCACTCACTCACTCACCAGGTACCACTGGGTCGTCTCGTCCGCGCTCTACGGGTCGTTCTTCTCTCTTTTCAGGGTTAACCATGGTGGAAAAAGCCTTGCGAGGCAGCGGTTCTGAAAAAGCTCGAGCTGAAGGGATGTTCAGGAAGTTTTTGATGGAAAACCAGTGATGAACTAGTTTCGGCTTATACAAGCCTTCATTAGCATCTAAGGGGAGTCGAGCCTTCATGTGGGTGCCGTAGTTGAGCCGAGCCGTGCTCTCCTCTACCCTCCTCCGCGTCATCTCGTCCTACACATGCTTCTAGGTCCCTCACTCACTCACTCACCAGGTACCACTGGGTCGTCTCGTCCGCGCTCTACGGGTCGTTCTTCTCTCTTTTCAGGGTTAACCATGGTGGAAAAAGCCTTGCGAGGCAGCGATTCTGAAAAAGCTCGAGCTGAAGGGATGTTCAGGAAGCTTTTGATGGGAAACCAGTGACGAACTAGTTTCGGCAAATACAAGCCTTCATCCGCATCTAAGGGGAGTCGAGCCTTCATGTGGGTGCCGTAGTTGAGCCGAGCCGTGCTCTCCTCTACCCTCCTCGAAGCTGTGCATTACCACACTCACTTACGCACACTCTGAGCTCCCTCACCCACTCACCAGGTACCACTGGGTTGTCTCGTCCGCGGTCCACCGATCGCTCTTCTCCCTTTTCATATGAGTGCCGTAGTTGAGCCGAGCAGTGCTCTCCTCCACTCGCCGGTACCCCTCCATCCCCTCGTCCCTCCCCCCCTGTGCGTCCACTGTCAAGCTCGCCTCGTTCACCACTATGCGCCCGTCGATTACTGTCACCTGGGGGGCAAACGACCCCCCGCCACCACCACTGGCGCTGGTGGGTGGGGGGTTGCTGGCTGGTGCAGACGCAGCAGGGCTGGTGGGTGGGTTGGGGGAGCAAACGCAGGAGAAAACGGCATGCTGATGCGACCTTACGTGTTGTCAGATGCACTTTCTTTTATAAGAATGCCAACGATGCACACTGCAGTCTTGAGACATTTCATAAATCTCGAAATCTCCACTCATCCCTCAGCACCACCCGCCCCCTCACCCCTCGCTCCCATCCTCCAGCGGCTCGCCTCGCCTCCTCGCCAGCTTCCTCCTGTTGCGCTCCACCTCCTCCTCTATCCGCTTCTTCTCCTGCTCCTCCTTCTCCTTCTGCAAGAGTGAGGGAGGGCGAAGGAAATACCTTCTTCAGTTTACTAAAAAACCTGTCCCTGGTTGCGCTCCAGCTCCTCCTCCTGCATAATGTGGAAGAGATGTGCAGAGAGTGAGAGGGAAGGAGGAATGGGGGGGAAGAGATGTTGGGAGAGGGGAAGTGGGGGAGAGTCTGTTGCGCTGCACCTCCTCCTCTATCCGCTTCTTCTCCTGCCTCTCCTTCTCTTTCTGCAGCGAAGGAGAGGAGACAGAGGGGAGGTGAGAGGGGTAGGCAGGGACGTGGAAGTGAGGGGGGAATGAGTGAGGGGGGATTTAAAAAGAAAACACTGACATCCCTATCGACCACTTTTGCCCCTGATCTGCTGAAAGATGACGCTGGAACGTGCGCCCTACCTTTCCCCAAACGCCTCACCTCCCTATCCAACACCTCTGCCCGTCACAGCTGGGAGCAGCCCAAAAGTCCCCTTTCATGCCGTACCCTCCCCTCAAAGCCTCACCTCTCCAACCATCACTTCGGCCCGTTGAATGGTCTATTGCAGGGCGAAGCATGAGCGGTCCTGATTGCAAGCCCTGCCTTCCCCTTACCACGCACCTCCCTATCCAGCACTTCCGCCCGCTGAATGATCTGCTGAATCGTGAAGCCCGAAAGGTCCTCTGCTGCCAGCAGCTCCGGTGTCACCTGCGACCCTGGTGTGAGGGGGAGGGAGGTTGAGGGATCGAGGGAGAGAGGAGAAGCAGATGGATGGGGGGAGATGGCCAGTGGGGAGGATGGGGGCTGGCAGGCTGAAGCCCGAGAGGTCCTCTGCTGCCAGCAGCTCCAGTGTGACCTGCGACCCTGGTGCGTGGGGGAGAGGGGGGGGAGAAGAGGGCGGAAGACGGAAGAGAGGGGATGGAGGGAGGAGAGGAAACGAGTATGATTAGGGTTGTGCAAAGAGCATTGCATGGCACTAACTCAGGAGTGAGCGAATGGAGAGCTGCTGTTCCTGAAAAATACATAGCATGAGTGGCTGTTAAGTAGCTCAAAGTAGTGGGAATGGGATGTGGCGAAAGATCGAAAGTGCCCAGTCGTCGAGATCAGAGTTCCAGGGTTTAAGGTTTAGGGCTGTTAATTTACTAGTGTAACTTACGCCTTCTACCCTTTCGGAACGAGTGTGGGAAGAAAACTCCCTTGGTTCCCGACCCAATCACGCCGCGGCTCTTATCCCCTCCCGATGCCCCTTTCTCCTTTTCCCTCCCTCTCCCATTCCCCCTAACCGCTGCGTCTGCTGCTCCCTGGGCACTGCCAGCCGCAGCACCAGCAGCAGTGGCAGCTGCAGCATTGCTATGAAGGCCATCTACTAGGGGACTAGGCGCAGGAGCACGCGGAGGGGGGCGAGCAGGTGCCTGTGGAGAGGGAACGGCAGGGGCGTGTGAGGAGGGAGCGGTGGGAGCTGTAGCAGGGGCAGATGCTGAAGACGCTCTTGCACCAGCGCCTACGGTGGCCGCGGTGGCTGCGGTAGAAGCAGCAGCAGCGGCTGTTGCGGACGGGGCACCAAAACCACCCAAACCCGAACCAAACCCCTCTGCTTGATGTGTCGGCCCTGCTGCTACTGCCACCGAAGGGGACGGTGCAGCCGCGCCCAGGCCAATAGCCTCTGGCGCTGCGGACTGGGAGGGTGGTAGTGGAGCGGAAGACGCGGCGGGAGGAAGAGGGCGTTGCGCTGGTGCTGATGTTCGTCCGGGTGCGACTGTAGCTGCAGTGGCTGTCGCGCGGACTGGCGGCGCTATCACCTGCGCAATTCCCGCGTCACCTCCCGGTGGAGCAGTGCGCCCTCCTGATGGACCGGCGAATGGGCCAACTTGTCCCGCGGGTGCCGGTGCTTCGGCACTGGCCCCTCCGCCCGCTCCTCCCTTTCGAGCGCGAGGTTTGAGCTTCGGCTGAAAGGCAGCCGTGCGTGGACCTGCAATTGTAGCAAAATGTGGTGTAGAACGCGTAAGCTAAGCGCCAAGTAAAATAACATCGACAGGAGGCATGAGGCAGCAAAAAGGCAATGAAGGTTATGGTTGCAATAATCGAAAGGGTACGACGGAGTGGCTACCAAAGGAGAAGCATGATGCCCTACCAGACGCTGATTCAAGCGCTGCGTCTAGTGAAGAAAGCATTGTCGTCAAAGACGGACAGGAGATGCGGCGAATGGAGGAAACTGTGTATGCCCCGTGGACTTCCTTGGCTATTTCGTCTCAACAGGGAGGCAAGCAGGAGGTCGAGAAAATAACCTAAAGACGCGGTACAAGTGCTCGCGGTGTTTGTGAGAACGAATTTCTAGTCAAAACATGCCTCTGACCCGTTTCTAGTAAATACTCTCACAGTGCAACCTGTTAAATTGCTCCATGCCCAAACGATAGTCTCCATTTTCCGCCAGCAAACACTAACTTAGATCAGACCCCGTTAATTAAAATACATGCAAACAAGCTATGGTGGCATGCATATCATTTCCAGTTAACATCAGTTGAAGGGCTCTCGCTGTAATGCCCAACATGGCTTGTGTCCACCTCCAGCAAATATCTCACCATGTGCTTGTCCAGGGTCATTCCACACAGAAACCGACACTGTGCTTTGCCCATGCAAGCAGCATCCTCCTGCTCACTCACCAGCCTGAACTCCCTGCCTTTGTTAAAGCCTTCTGTTTGCCAGTTCTCAATCACCCTCATTTCTGGTTCAGGCCCACTCAGTAGATGCCAGAGGTCTGCTCCTGCAAGATCGACGTAGTATTGGATGTCCAGCTTCAATCTGCACTCGTCCATTGATTCATGCAGCTTGTTTAACATGTCAATGTCGTTGCTGGCGTCATTCTTGCTGTGCTCATATGCCAGTGCAACTGCATTCAAATTTCCATACCTGCACACGAAAGGAATAAGCTCCAGCAAATAAACGTGTTAGCTTGCATCCCAGGGGGCACAAACCTACCCGAATATGTTGTTTGGCTCCAGCATGTTCCCCTCTCCCCATTCATTCCATGCAGTAAGGAAGAAGAGGTTGGGGGTCGTTCCATTGTTCGGATCATTCCGAGCGATTCGAAACCTCTCTTCCAGCCTTGCCTCCACATGAACAGGATCATCATCAAGGTCCCCAACAACAAAATGCGGGTCAAGGTTATGCCTTGGGAAGTTGTCCCAACCAAGATACTCCCCCCTGTAATGAGCTTTGTGCAGTCGTTTTGTTGGAGATTCAACCTTCATCCGCCCTTTCTTCAGATTTGGCTGGTACTCCATGATGGCATTGACATTTCTCGATACACCTGTGTCTTTATGGCCCAAGCACTGGATGATATGAAGCCCTGGCAAACCTTCCTCTTTGGCAAGAGATCGCCATAATTTCAACATTGGCTTCAGCTCCTTGATAAGGGGGACAATGTAGACTCCAAATGCTGGCTTATTATTGACTTTTATGTAGTTCGGGTGCTTAAATAGGGGTAAAAGCCACTGAAAATGTAACCGCCAGCATGTCTCATTCCCATAGCTCTGCATTATATGATCAAGAGACTGAGTACAACCGTTTTGCACCGTGCATCTCTTTATGGTCAAGTGCTCTCACCTGCGACTGAAGCACTTCGCCAGTCTCTCCTGTCCAGTGACGTGTCCAGGCTTCATTTGCCCAAATGAGCATAAAAGGGACGTCCGGTTGTCCATCTTTCAGCATTTCCATAATGACGGACTCCAAGAATACAGTGTTGCACTCAAACCAATAGTGATGATATGCGAAGCCCTGCAGATGAAGTACCAGACTTACTCGCTTGGCTCAGGAGATTAAGAAAAACGAAGAATAGTGCTTGATGAGCTCACATGTATGCCATAAAACCGTGCCAATTTCCCCATCCTTGTACGATGGGAGTGGCTGAGCATGTTATAATAGCCCCCATAAGTTCCAATAGGATGCTTGATTGGTTGAAAGTTCCACGGGTTGAAAAAGGCCAATTTTAAGTTCGTCCATTCCGTGAAGTTGGTTCCCCAAAACAAGTCATTCTCCTTGAATGCATGGTACTGCAGGGAGGAGAAGGGATGGTAAAGACAATAATCCGCAGCAACTTAACGAAGCAAACGCTCACTTACCTGAGGGAAAACAACCGCAATCATATGCAAGTCTTCGTCAGTGAACACTGGGCCGATATTTTGTTGGTCGGTGAAGGGGACCGATTGTACCACTGGCAGGCGCCTGAGTGCCTCATAATCTTGTCCTCTGACAAGAAGTCGGCACTGAAAGGATGCGCTGTAGTTAAAAACACCACATTGTTATGTCGCAAACCGTAACAAATTTGACGTTGCGTCTTGCCTGGTAGTTCTTAAGCCGAGGCGTTACACCATCCATCCTCGTGTACTTGAAGCTTATAGCATGATCGAAGAACGAGCCGGGAATGCCAGGATATCGCCAGCGCGTCAAAACGTCGTAGTTGGAGTTATTATTCCAAGTAACCGTGTTGGTGTCACGGATCAGCTTGCAATCCTTCTTGGCCTTCGTGTCCAGCCTTCCATATTGTTTCATCATTTGACTCGCAACGTAAGCGACTTCCGGTGCCTGAGGAATCCAACGATTAGACGTTCCCCGTTTTTTAGCGATTCACGGAAACGATCCTAATCACCTGCCACGGTTGGACTTCACGCGGTGAAACGAGAGCGGGGTGATAGTGATCTTCGGATGTTGCGGAAAGGACGACGATTGAATGGCTCGCAGTTTCCTCTATGTTACTGTCTGTCTTCCAAGACAATCGACGATGCCATGAAGCAGTTCCCGCTGGGATTAAGGAAAGACGGTAGCACGCTGCACAAGCCAGCATTAGGAGGATAAGCAAGCCGATTCGATCACGCCGCTGGACACTGCAAGAGGTCCACTGTCTACTACTAGGGGTGGGGGATACCTCCCAGATTCCAGCCATGGCGTGGGGACCTATGAGGTTGTGACTAGTCGGGTCTGCTTGAATGCTGTTTGTATGAATGCTGATGGAATTTGAACCACCTGGCACCAGGGTCTCCTCTCCAAAGACACTACTACAACTTGTGTCCTGGTGGGAGTGAGATTTCGCCAACGAGAGGTGTGTGTTGCGAACGGTCGTAACCAGTCCGGTCTGTACCCCATTTTCCTGCAATGTAACCCGCTGCTTTCGTCACTTTCTCGTCACATGCATGGTTGTAACCTGCCTGCTGTCAATGAGGTAGTTTAGCTGGTCTCAAGAAATTCGTCGTGTAGGATTTCATAGAGGCGAGCTGATTATTTCGACTGGCGACCACCACTTTTGCGAACGAAGAAGTAATCAACTCGCTGCTGTCAGTGTGTCCTCACGGCGACAAACTTGCGACATCAACCAAATTCGCTGGGGCTACACGCCCTTCAACATTCCCGCCAGGGAGCAACCCGCCAGGAGGCAAAACCGACACCGCCAAAGCTATTTGAAAACGGCATTGCTCCCATGAAATTACCCAGCAGCCGCATCATTGAGGCACTGGCATTTTGCAAATGAGCAACCAGCTTTCAGCTCAATGGCTGCCACAGCAACGCCACTACCTGAATCAGTCGTTCAGCAATTTCGCGAACTTGATCGCGTCCGACGGGAACAGGACGTCGTTGTGAAGAAGATTAATAAAATCCACTCTAAGTTAAGCCAAACCCGTACGTATTGCCGCGTTCTTCGACACTCACACTTTCTAGGTGCACATTCTCTCCGTATTATTGTCATTCGTTTTCGACGCTTTCCTGTTGAAATCGATTCTTCCGTTTTATGTGTGCGTTCTAACCTTCTTGAACGAGTACAGCACGAGAGACGGCAGAACGCTTTGGTGAGAAGCTTTGGATAAAGCTACGGGGATTCTACGTGGAGGCCAAACGTCTTGCAGATCTTGAAGAAAGGTGCGCGACAGAATTTCATCCTTCTCATTGCTCCCTTCCAATCATCTATGGAGGTCATTGGCATGCTATGACGTCCGTCAGTGTCATACGCGCATTTTCCTCACTTGTTAATGTGGTTCTGTACAATCCCGCCTTCCCCATTCCAGTCTCTGTACGTCCTGCATCCGAGAAATCGATCCATCACAAGTCTCTGTTTCTTCAGCGCCCCACGGGACCAAAAAAAAATCAGGCAGGTCACCTGCAATTGCATCCTGAATTGTCAGGAAGCAATCCAGCCATTGGCAGTTTGATCATAGAAATGTATTTGCAAGTTGGTGAAGTGACCCTCCTCCGTTTATTCTATCCGTTTAACGCATGACATACCCATGGTTATCACATATTTCTGCTCACCCCGTCGTCCTCTTCTCCAACTTTCTGGTGTTTCCAGATGGCCCTTTGGAAGGAGGGAGGAAGAAGCGCCAACGCACCAGTCCTGTCGTTGATGGAGCAGCTGGGGGGGAAGGTGGTCCAGGGAGTGCTGCAGGGCTGAACTCATCTGCTGCTGGCCTCAATGATGGTCCTTCTGCACCGTCGCCGGTTTCCCTGACACGGGTTGTGGTGGGAGAACAGGTGAGGGCGGAGAACGTGAGGCGTGCTGTGGAGGTGGGGAAGGCCAAGTGACGGGAACGTGAGAAATGGAGTGCAGAAGAGGCCAGGTGACTTCGGACAACCGCTGGCCCTGTTTAGCGATTGCAATTTGTTGGTGATTCTGTCTCCATGCTCCATTGTCTCTCCGTTTTCCCCTTTCCAATCAGGTGGCTGCACGTGTGTCTGCCACTGAGGATGGCAAGGATGAGTGGATAGTTGTGAAGGTGCTGCGCATTGACCGGGAAGCAAACAGGTGAGACCCAGAGAAATTTGAGTAGAAAAAAAGGCTTTTTGAAACGTCATGCCTATCAATGGCTTGATGTGTGCCAAGCGCGCAGCTTCTTACTACTTCGTTTTCTGTCTTCTACAGGTTTGATGTACTTGACGAGGAGCCAGGAGAGGAGGATGAAGGCGGTCAAAGGTGAGGACAGAACAGAGGGTACAAGGGCCCTGACAGGCAGAATTTCCTTACAACCGGTAACATCTTGTGAACCGCAATGCCGCAAGTGATTTCCAGACTGTACAGCTAGCGTTCATATACCCCAGCAACTCTCCTCTGCCTCCACATTTCCATCGTTTCCCGGTACCTCAGGAAGTACCGTCTGTCTGGCTCATGCATCATCCCCTTCCACAAGCGCAACGAGTGGATGTCCGCCTCGGACTTCCCTCCTGGCTCCAGAGTGCTCGCGGTGTTCCCCAGCACCACTGCCCTTTACCAAGCCACAGTCGTTGGGCAACCACGCAAGGTATATTTACCAAGCTGCTTCGTTTCTGTCAGTTCCTCATTAATCAAAGCTGAGTATTGTGATCCCTCATTACCCCAACCTTATGCCTTCTGATATCCCTGCAATTCAGTTCTTTCTTACCCCACCTTGTGCTGTAGGATGATAGCATACCCATGGATGAATAACGGATGATACTGCGCTTTCAACTGATTTTTCACTGTTAAACAATCTCCCTCTTCTGCGTTGCCTTGCCTCAACTTGTACCTTGTCCCACTTGCCCAATACGGCACGCCTTTTTCTTGTGGTGACAACAACAACAGCGGAAAAGCGACGAGTAAGAGCTGCCAGTCGTTTGTCCTTCCACGCCGGACAACCCATCATGCCGAACACTTTCACTTGCCTCTATGGCTGTGCTGCTCCTTTGTTGCCTGTGGGCTGCAGTAGCATGGCTACTGTTATGCCTGTACCTTCTCCACCTCCCCTGTCCTTACGGTGCTTCCTTGTGTGCCTGCAGCTACTCATTGGAGTTTGATGACGATGAAGAGGAGGGCATACAGGGCGTGCCGCGCCGAACTGTCCCATTCAATCATGTTGTTGCACTCCCACCCCCTAACCCAAGGGCATACATTAACCGGCAATAGCCAACTGTTGTCAGGTTAAGGAAAGTTAGTCAACCCATGCTATACTCTATCAGTATATTATTATGTCTGCATTGCCAGTAGGTCCATCAAAGCCACTACGGCGGTGATACGAACATGCTCAAGCTTATGCTTGAGCCTTTGTATATCGCTAAGGTACATGACAGCAATCTGGATCTGTACAGCAGGCTCCACTATCATGTTCTTCAGCTGTTATATGAATCATAAATATAAGGCGGTAAGTAACACCGCATGTCAGAAGAGCAGTGTATTGTGGACCATTTCCAGCCAGGCATCTGTGACCCCCGCCTCACACCAGTGCAAACAGTCATTCCTCTGGGTCGACCCGCCTGCCAGGCAAGGTGGGCAGCACAGCAGGAGGAAGCCATCAGGTGAGGTGACTAGTACCCAAAGCTTGAAGTCATCTCAACCTCTCTACGGCAGCTTCTTTCCCTCCTGGTCCCATGCAACGCATGTCACAGCATTCTGTCCCCACGACTCACCTGGTGTGATCCACTTCTGCAGGTGCCCGTCTGGCCGCCAGTCACTCATCGGTCCCACGTCCACGTAGCGAATCACCGAGCCCCGCAGGACTCTCCTCTGTATTGCTCGGAAATTGTTTGTCTTCACATCCTCCCTGCGAAACTCAATGGTCTGGATAAGGGGAAGAGAGGGGGGAGAGAAAAGAGGTGATATGAGAAGGATATGTGGTTACCACCACCTCTCACTGCAGCACATCCCTGTAGCGGATCTCAGCGCAGAACCCCAGCTTAACCCATTTAGTGTAGTGCCTTTTTGGTGCCCCAGCAACACCGCCTTCCCTCCAAGAAACCCTTAAAGCCCCTGAAGGCGGCCAATCGAATGCAAGCGGGTCACACACGACTGACTTGAGCCATTGGGGGCCATCGTGACTCACCTGCAGCCTCGTCATCCTCTCCTGCACTTCGCAGAACTCCGGCTTGGCCCCTGGCACAAGTATGATGTAGTGTTATGGCGACTCACCCTAATATGAACCCATTAATGCCCCCTGCCAACCATTTGGGCCATTCCACATGACTCACCTGCAGCCTCGTCATCCTCTCCTGCACTTCGCAGAACTCCGGCTTGGCCCCTGGCACAAGTATGCTGTAGTGTGATGGCGACACAACCTAATATGAACCCATTAACACCCCCTGGCAACCATTTGGGCCATTTCACATGACTCACCTGCAGCCTCGTCATCCTCTCCTGCACTTCGCAGAACTCCGGCTTGGCCCCTGGCACAAGTATGCTGTAGTGTGATGGCGACGCAACCTAATATGAACCCATTAACACCCCCTGGCAACCATTTGGGCCATTTCACATGACTCACCTGCAGCCTCGTCATCCTCTCCTGCACTTCGCAGAACTCCGGCTTGGCCCCTGGCACAAGTATGCTGTAGTGTGATGGCGACGCAACCTAATATGAACCCATTAACACCCCCTGGCAACCATTTGGGCCATTTCACATGACTCACCTGCAGCCTCGTCATCCTCTCCTGCACTTTGCAGAACCCCAGCTTGGCCCCTGGCACAAGTATGCTGTAGTGTGATGGCGACGCAACCTACTATGAACCCATTAACATCCCCTGGCAACCATTTGGGCCATTCCACATGACTCACCTGCGGCCACGTCATCCTCTCCTCTACTTCGCAGAACCCTGGCCTGACCCCCGGCACAGGTATAGTATAGTGCGATGGAGACGCCCCCAGCAGCACCGCCTTTCCTTTGAACCCCTTAAAGCCCCGGGCGGCCACCAGGGCTGAGCGCGTCACGTAGTTGCGGAGCGTGGTGAGCCCGATGGCGTATGCGGCCGTGCGAGTCAGGTTGACTCTGCGATTCTTGAGGTAGTACTGATTGGCGGTGGAGTACCACCAGTTGGTCGCCTGTGTAAACAAAGTCAGGTGTTTAAGCAAGAGGCACTGATTAGCAGGGGGGACGCAAGGAGTGGTAGGGTGAATGCAGTGAGGTAGTGCTGATTTGATTAGTACCACCAGTTGGTGATTTTTGAGTCGACTCAAAAATCACCTCAGGAGTGGTAGGGTGAATGCAATGAGGTAGTGCTGATTTGATTAGTACCACCAGTTGGTTGCCTGCACAATGGGAGGAGGTGCAAGGTGACTGCAGTGCCAGTGAAGTAGTGAGCCCTAGGGTATATGCAGCGGTTGGGTCGGTTTGACTCTGCGATTCTTGAGGTAGTACTGATTGGCGGTGGACCACCAGCTGGTCGCCTGCACCAACGGGGGGAGGTGCAAGGTGAATGCAGAAGCATTGAGGTCGTGACACCTATGGCGTATAGGTTGGTCGGCTCTGTGATTCTTGAGGTAATATTGACTGGCGCCAGTTGGTCGCCTGCACAGTGGGAGGAGGGCAAGGTGAATTCGGTAGTATTGAAGGGGTGAGCCCGCAGGCATAGGTGGCAGTGTGGGTCGGGTTAACCCTGCGATTCTTGAGGTTGCAGTGATTGACGGTGGAGTACCACCAGTTGGTTGCCTGTGAAATAGAAGCACAACGCAGCATGGCACAAGGTTCGTCTGCATGGAAGCCGGTAGCTTCTTGGCTCAAAAGCATGCGGAGAAGGACATGTTGTTCAGCTAATGGAGGCATCGAGGGGTCAAGGCAAGCAGCTGCAAGTCAGTGGCACGTGAATCAGGGCCAACTCACCTGGAAAATGACGATATCGGCAAGTGGCAGGAGATCCACGATGCGGGAATCCAATTGGTCCAGGTGGATCCCCTGCGACTGCTGATTGGCCATCGTCTCAGATCCCTCGGCAGTTGGCGCGCTTCCCATGTTTTCTAGTCTCTCCAAGGCTTCCAGATCCTTCGGTTGGGGCTGGCCCGCCAGGGAGGTGGCGTTGTTGAGGTGCGTTGAGAACACTGACACGAACCGGATGTTGTAGCGGGGGATCTAATAGGGGGGATGGAGTGAAGGGTGGGAGATGGACAGGGGTACGGAGCATGGAGTGGGGAGGGAAGGGGGTTGGGGAGAAAGGCACAGCCAGTAAGGCTATTTCAAGTCTTTGTGTGCGAAGATTACTCAAACGAGGCCATCGAAGACTTTTGAGGCACAACGGGAAGATTCAAACGAGCAGCCAATAAGGTGTTTTGTGAGAATGGAATGGAGGAGAGAAGAGGAGAGGACGTGCAAAGGGCCCATTTTGAGGAGGTGAAAAGAGAGGCAGTGGAGAGGGACGACAAGAGAGAATGTGAAAGCAGTGGACAGGAGGACCCTTGAAGTGCTCTGCTTCACACGAGGTTGCGTCTCACCAGAGCATGCCAAGTCACACCATGCCCCAACCCAAGCATGCCCCAACCCAAGCATGCCCCAACCCAAGCATGCCCCAACCCAAGCATGCCCCAACCCAAGCATGCCCCAACCCAAGCATGCCCCAACCCGAGCATGCCCCAACCCGAGCATGCCCCAACCCAAGCATGCCCCAACCCAAGCATGCCCCAACCCAAGCATGTCCCAATCCGAGAAGATTCTAGGCATTTCAGCACTCACCCATGCGCCTGCCAGCTCTGTCTATTCGCTCGCGAGTTGGAAGCTCTAGATTGAATCGGGCATAGCAGTGTAGAGCGCACACTTAATAATTGGCAGGCACAGGATTTTTGTAAGCCCTCCAAGCAAACCACTCACCCAGGTGCCTGTCAGCTGTGTTTTCCCGCTTGCGAGTCGAAAACTCTTAATGGACTTGGGGGTAGCGGTGTAGAGCGTACACTTTATAGAGTCCGCCAGGTTCTTAGACACAGAGTCCCCCAGCACCAGCACTAGCTTGTTCTTAAACTGCTGCACCAGGCGAGCCGGGGTTAGACGCTGCACCGCGCACCCGACGGGCTGCAGAGGAGGGGAGAGGGAGGAGATCGAGGTAATTGATAGAGCATGGCAGGTTCTTGGACGGCCGATGGGGGGCAGGGCTGCAGTGTGTGGAGCTGGATTGTTTTAAAACTGCTGCACGAGGCGAGCTGGGCTGCACCGTGCCTTCAACGGGCTGCAGAGGAGGGAGAGGGAGGAGCGTGAGGTCATCGATCGATAGAGCCTGGGAGGTCATCGATAGAGCCTGGGAGGGTCTTAGAGAGCCGATGGGGTGCAGGGCTGGGCTGCAGCGAATGGGGTGGATTGGACATAGAGCCCCCCAGCAGCAGCACCAGCTTGTATTGAATTGCCGCACGAGGCAAGGTGGTGCCAGCTGAAAAGGAGGCGATGACAGACCAGGAGTCAGATCGAAGAATGGGGCGTGAGGTGAAGGGGGGTGGGTGAGAGTCGAGCGGCCGCGAGCAGTCAGGCGGCGGGGGTGACTCGAGTCAAGAGCCAACTCACCCGCCATCCCAGCTCCTGATAATCAAACCGTGCGCCCCTGCTTGCTGCTTTGAGTCAAGAATGACGGTCCGGCCTGCTCGCTGCTCGCCCCTTGTGTAAGGCAAGAGCCAACTCACTGCTTTGAGAGGCAACTCAAAGTCGGTGGCCATCCCAGCTTCTGGTAGTCGAAGTCGGTGCGCCCTGCTCGCTGCATTGAGGCAACTCTCCACAACTCTTTGCTTATCCAGCCACCTCGACTCGACTCACCCGCCATCGCAGCGTCTGGTAGTCAAAGTCGGTGCGCCCCTGCCGCCGGCAGTTGTGGGACGGTCGGATGTACGGACAGGATACGCCGTTGTACATGGGAAGCTTCCTGGAAGGCACCCACACGCCGTTGGATATGCTGCAGTTCCAGGCGCGCGGGGGAGGCGTGAGGGGCGCTAGTGGGGGGCGCAGGGACCGACTCCGCGCGCCATTCCCGCCGTAGACTGCGCCGCGAGACCTGCTCAGCAAGGCGACAGTCAGCAGCCACGTCAGAAGACGCGTCATCCATAGCTCATCCCGCTCTCGCCACTGCTGCATCGTCGATCTTGTCGCGCGCACGACCCGACGTCGCATGTGCGAAGGAAGCACGGCGGTGCGACGGTGCCGAGTCAGCGCATGATTCCACGCGTGGACAAAATCTGAATTCAAAACTAGCGTAGCGTCACCGATTTCTGGCCGTGCTACTGTGATACTAAGCTGGTAGTTTCTTAGCGGGGACGAGCGATGCTGGAGGTCAACAGATCCCTCGGCGGCAAGGCATGGGGAAAGGGAGTGAATATATAGCAGCAAGTCTCAATCTCAGTGTGCGAAAAGGTGAGTTGCGGGAAAGCATAAGGGCCAAGACTGCCAGTCGTTTTTAGAATGTAGAGGCCTGAAGCTAGCCTGGAGTCGAATAATTGGGCCGACGTGTTTTTGCCGCAGCGACACAAATTTGAGCAAGAGGAGGTCCACCACACTACAGCCGCTGCTCGCACAGGCAGGCTCGCTAGACTTCACTTCCTTCAGAGCAAATGGCGAACCCAGAGAGCTCCATAGCAACCTCACTGAGGGCGGGTTTTGTTTTTCAAGAGTCCAAGTTCGTCGGGGTCATCGCTACTGCACCGAACTCTAGGTGGGCTGCCTCGGAAGCATGGGTTTCTTTCGCGTGTTTCATTACTGCGGGCACAGCAGGGGGATTTGCGAAACGGTTCCAGGTCACGACACTGAGCGAAGGACGACACCGGAAACGCGCTCTCCCGTGCAATAGGCGGCGGAAGCGGCGAGGCGCGTCCGAGATTCGGGGGCTGGACTGGGGCTTGCTTCGCAACTCCGATTCGAGAATCGAGATTTGCCTGCAAAGGGGACGCGGTAGAGTCAGCTGCGTTTTGACCGCCTAGTACTAAGCACAGGTGAAGTGACCTAATACACCCTAAATCAGCCCATATCAATCTGCAAAAACCAAATCGCCATGCCTCTACACAAGTAGCATGTTTCCATGATTCCATAAAGAAATGTATATTTCCTGTGCAATAGGGAGCCATATCAGGTCTCAAGGATGAAAGTTGGATTTGGAGGGTGAGGGCAAATGCAAATCACGACCTAACCAGTGGGTTTGTACAAACAGCTGGGTAGATTCAGACAGAAAAGCAGCAACCAAGAAACGACTGATGGCCTTTCTAATGACAAATCAGAAGGCAAGCAACAGAACGAGGGTCATAAAACACAATGATATCACTGGGGTGGCATTCCTTGCTGCTGCCACATTTGTTGCGGCAGTTGCTGCATGTAACCCATCCCGGCCATGGCATTTGCAGCCCGCTGCTGCTGCTGCTGTACAGCCTGAGCCTGCTGCTGCTGCTGCTGCTGTTGCTGCTGCTGCTGTTGCTGCTGTTGCTGTTGCTGCTGCTGCTGTTGCTGCTGCTGGCCGTACAAGGAAGGATCCATTCCCATGGCATGCCTATTGACCATCATCTGGTGCTGCGCCATGATAGCTGCAGTAGGCTGCTGCATCGTGGCTGCAGTTGGCGCAGTAGCCTGTGGCATGTAATACATGCCACCAAACGCAAGATCTGCTGTGCCAGGCATACCTACAGGGGGGCGAGGCACTCCACCCAAAGCACTGGCTGCTCCAGCAGCCCCGACCCCAACGGCTCCTACCACGCCTCCTTCTTCACGAAGCTCATCGCGTGGGACAATGTCTACCAAAAAGTCGAAAATGTCCGTACGCGTTATAGCGCCAGCAATGTCATTCTTCTGCAGGGTACGGCGCTTGTTCTCCTCGGTGTGAATCCAGGAACGCAATGTGAGCTCCAGAATGAACATTTCACAGGCCTTCGCGAAGACCACAGGCGCTTCTGCACTTATCATGCGAACGTCCTCGTCCGCCTTCATAATCTTCTTGATACGAGCGAGCGGAAGCTGATGGTTCTTAAAATCATTCGCGTGCTCCACATCGCGCATCTGCTGCTGCCAAAAGCTCTGCAGCTGCTGCTGGTGTTGCTGCTGAAGGTGCTGATACTGTAACTGCTGCTGCAGCGCCTGAGGCTGGTACCCAGGTGCACCAGCTGGTACCACTTGGCCAGCAGGCACGGATCCAGCAGCACCGGCTGCTGACGACGGGTTCGTCTGGTACTGAGCCATCATGTGAGGAGCCATTGTAGGTTGCCCCATAGCGGCAGCATAGGCCATCTGGCCAGGCTGACCAGGGATGTTTATCATACCAGGCTGCTGGGCCATGATGAAAATCCTCTACAAAACGACCGCGGCGACGATGTAAACGATCTCGTTTAACTTGAAAGGCTGGGCGTAGTTGGAAAGAGACCTGCCACAAGATTTCAGGACACAGATCGTTGGTCAGAAAAGTAGAAATACAATGGGCTCTCGACGATGATTAAACTAGCAGTCCACGAAACTCTGCAATGGCTGTTCGAAGGATCGATTTTCACTGAACTATGTAACTGAAATGGAGCGCGAATATTGAATCATCACTCCGAATATTGGATGGGGTTACGCAAACGCGACGGCAAGGGAACAACTAGGCACAAGACCATCCAGCCAAACAGGTGTTGTGGCATTGTAAGCAACGGTGCACCCACGAGACAACGCTGTGGAATTTGAATTCCTAAAAAAAAGTGGAAGGATTTGTACTGGTGCTAATAAGTAGTGAAAACTTGGAAAGGGAAACGAGTGGTAGTGCGTACCTCTTGGGAGAGGAACGAATCAGATTGAACTGGGAAACTCTGAACTGAACTGCGAGAGGCGAGTGGAGGGCGCCCAAGTTTAGCAGGACGGTGAGATGCAAGCTAGGGAGGTAAACGGACGAGTGAGATGCGGCGACTGGCAAACGATCAATGGCGTTTTCAGCCTAGAGTGAGGGAGCGGTTGAGCGTGAAGCAATGGATGAGAAGGGATAGGTGGGACGGACGGACGGATGAAGCAGACGGCTCCCATACCAGCAGGTTCGGAAACCCCATGTGGTTTTCCCTGAAGCACCTCGATGAAGCAGATGCTCCCAAGAAACCAAGCCTCGCGGAGTAGCGGGTGAGCCGCTCGATTGCAAAACGGACAAGTCGGATGAATGGCCAGGATCCACGAAGAGCTTTGAAACCCTAGCCCACACAACTGGCCGTTTACGTTATTTTAACGAGTACATGTAGCTGCCATAAAAGAGTCACGGGAAACGATTGATATCTTTCTTTGTATAAAATCATGGTTAGGCAAACAAGCGAAGATAATCATGAACCTACATAAAATCCATGTTAAATATGTATCATTGCATTTATACTCAGGTAAAATAAGGACAAATGCTCCATAGTTGAAGTACAAAACACAACCTTCTCTTGAAATAATTACCATCAGTTTGCAATATTTTCTCATGAAATAATTTTCAACATAGGTTCATCTTCCAGAAAGTGTGGATGGAATTCAAAAATTTGAGTTGTGACAATTTTATAAGTGGTTTGGCAACTACACTTGCAATTGTTTACAGTTGCTCAGGACTATTATCCACCGTAACGACAGCCTGCAAGGCGGATCTAGTTCACCCTTGCTCCCAGTGATCTCCTCCTCCTGACCACCATGCTCCATACCTTAGAATTTAGGTGCTTGGTCTTAGGGCCGCCTCCATTATACTAGTTTCTCACTCCTACACATCCATTTGTCACAGCTTCCCGTCTGTAGGCCGCATCGCTACTTCCTCTCGTCTTCTGCCCTTCGCACGTGTCGACACGGCATCGTTGCAATCCCCCCCACCAGCGATCCGCCTCAGTTCCGTCGATACCTCTCACTCCTCACCACGATTGCCGTCATTCTATCGTCATTCCATAGCACCTTGACAGATTCTGCTGACTAGCTTCATTGAATTCCGTCGGGTCATGTCAGATCCTACATCTGGCGTCACCATGACGTCGTCACCCCCCTCGCATCCAGATTCCTCGTTAGACGCACCTTCGCTTGACGTCACCCGGTTGAATCTCACACGAAGCAGCAGCGGCGGGACGAGCGGCAGAGGCGGGGGAGCCGGACACGCGTCGTCGTTTCGTTCGCTGAAGCCCCTGGATCTGAGGAGCGACGAGTCGCGGAGCGCGGCGATCCCGCTGGGCCCGGAGGGCGCGGTGTTCCACGGGCGCCTTGACAACGGCGTGTCTTACTACGTGCGCCGCAATGGCAAGCCGCAGAATCGCGCCGCGCTGGCGCTGGCGATCCGCGTGGGGTGAGGATTGAAGGAGCACAGGGGAGGGGGGAGGGGGGGAGGAAAAGGGGGAAGGACTCGGGGGAGGGGATTCGGGGGAGGGGGTTGAGGGGGAGGTTTGGGGATTGGTGAGCAGCGGCTGTATTGACTTCTGAACATGTACATTCCTGCTTTAGTGTGTTGGGGGCAGCTGCTTGCATGGGGGAATGCCTCCAAAGAGCGAATTCAAATGGTCCCCCCCCCCCCCCCCCCCCCCCCCGCATTCTTCCGACATCCGCGTCCGCCACGTGTCAGTTCCCTAGTGGAGCAGGAGGAGGAGCGGGGCGTGGCGCACATTTTGGAGCACCTGGCGTTCAGCGCGACGCGGCGCTACAGCAACCACGACATCGTGCGCTTCCTAGAGAGCATCGGCGCGGAGTTCGGCGCGTGCCAGAACGCGTACACGTCCGCCGACGAGACGGTGTTCGAGCTGCAGCTGCCCGTGGACAAGCCCGAGCTGCTGCCGCACGCCGTCTCCGTCCTTGCTGACTTCGCCAGCGATGTGAGTCCGGGCCAGGGTGCCTCGTGTGCTGTGAGGCGGGGCTCTCTTTGGTGAGAACGTTGCTGTTTATCGGTTGGGTTTGAGGTTTTCTATGCCGATCCCCTGTTCCTGTTTCAACCCTCTTCTCTGTCTGTGCCCATGTGTGTGTGTGGGACTTCGTGCGTGGCCGTCCCTGTGCCTGTGCCTGTCAGATCCGCATATCATCGGAGGACGTGGAGAAGGAGAGGGGCGCGGTGATGGAGGAGTGGAGGGAGAGGCGGGGCGCCATGGGGCGCATGCAGGACGCGCACTGGCAGCTGCTCATGAAGGGCAGCAAGGTGGGGTGTTTAGAACTGGTGGTTTAAGGCTTGTATTTTATGGAGAGAGAGAGAGAGGGAGAGAGAGGGAGAGAGAGAGGGGGGGGGGGGGGGAAGAGAGAGAGCGAGGGGGGGGGAGGGGGGAACGCCATGGGGCGCATGCAGGACGCGGAATTGCACCAGCTAGGTGAGAGCTTCGAAGAGGATCTGGTCTAGGGGGAGGAGAGGAGGAGTGCTAACTACGGTGCGGCTATCTGCTGTATCATGCGCCACCATTGCTCTTCCTCAATACCTTTCTATCTTTCCCCCCCTCCCCACCCACCTCAGCTTCAGCCAACTCTTAAACTTTCACCGGATCCACCTCCCCTGGCTCCTTGCATGGCAGTATGCAGAGCGGCTGCCCATTGGCCTGGAGAGTGTGATCCGCGGCGTGCCAGCGGCCACCGTGAGGCGCTTCTACCACACGTGGTACCACCCCGCCAACATGGCCGTGGTTGCTGTGGGGGACTTCCCCGATGCGCAGGTCAGTTGGTTCATCGCATGTGGCATGTGGCATGTGGCATGTGGCATGTGGCATGTGGCATGTGGCATGTGGCATGTGGCATGGGCCTACTCCTCACTTCACACATTCAAGTGCTTCTACAGCACGTGGTACAACCCCCCATTGCCTTCCCTCCTCCACAAGGCAGTCATTTTGTCATCTCAGGGCACTTCCCCCCCAAGCGGCCTCTCTGAGGCGCCTTTCGAGTCGACCCAAAAGTCCATTCTACCGCTCTCTGACCACCGGCCTTCCCTCTCCCGTCCTGCCCCCCCTCAACCGCTCTCCCTCCAGGCAGTCATTGCGCTCCTTGAGGAGCACTTCGCCCCCAAGCTGCCCCTCTCGCCCTCCTCCCTGCCCGCCGTACCCGAGGAGCCCTTTCAGCCGCACTCTGACCCGCGCTTCTCTGTGTTCGTCGAGCGCGAGGCGGGCGGGGTGAGTGAGTGTGATAGAGGGGGGGATGCCAGGGGGTTGGGTGTGGTGTGGTAGGTGGTGGGAGTGTGGCACGGTTAATGGTGGGAGTGATCCAGGGGTCCTTCCAGCCACCCGCTGACCTGCGCTTCTCCATGTTCGTCGGGCGATAGGCAGGCAGGGTGAGTTCGAGGGTGTGAGAGTGTGTCGCGTGGGATTTCTTGGGGGAATAAAGAGTGGTGTGGTGTGGTGTGGGAGTCGTGAAGGATCCCCTGGCCAGGGGGATGGCTCAGAGGTTCGATTCTCAGTGTGAGCGAAGGGCAGCGGGATGGGTGGCAGGGTGGGGGTTGTGGTGAAATGCCTTGTTGTTGAGGATGGTCGAGGCACCCACGATGCAGCCAGGAGATTCGAGAGCCACCCAGGACAGGACAAACACACACGTGCGCCAAGCTGGAATGCCTCTATGGACCAGCAAGGGGACGCACAGGGGCGGGCCGATGGTGCTGCTCCCAGCAGCACTGCCGTGCTGTCCTGCTGCTGGCGATGGCAGCGTATCTTCTGCTGCTGCTGCTGCTGTCCCTCTTCCATGCTTCCTTGAATTGCCGCTGCTTCGTCTATTGAAGCGCTGCAGTGGTTTGTTCTTTCATCATCCCTATCCCCCTCCATTGTAATGCCCTTTACTTCTTGCCTTCCCCTTCCCCCCAAGTCAGCAGTGATGGTCTCCTGCTAGGCGCCCGAGCACCCGAGGGTGACCCCGTCCGACTGCCGCCTGCCTGTACCTTCTTGAGGAGCTCTTCCAATCTCTCAATCTCTTGCATGGCCCTTGTTGTTTTCCCCCCTATTCTCCCCCAGTCGGCAGTGATGCTGCAGAGCACCCCATAGTGACGCCTGCCGACTACCGCCTCTACCTGGTGGAGGAGCTGCTCTCATCTCTCAATCTCTTGCATGGGCCTTGTTGTTTGCCTCTTCCCTCCCCCCCCCCCCAGTCGGCAGTGATGGTGTCGTGCAAGGCCGCAATTCACCCCATGGTGACGCCCGCCGACTACCGCCTCTACCTGGTGGAGGAGCTCTTCCAGGCGGCCCTCTCGCACCGCCTCTTCCTTCTCTCGCGGCGCCCCGACCCGCCCTTCTATGCCGCCGCCGCCACCGTGGAGGCGCTTGTCAAGTCCACGCGCTCATTCTCCCTGAGCGCCAGCTGTCAAGACAAGGGCACGCTCAAGGCGCTGGAGGCGCTGTGGATGGAGGTGGGTCAAGTCTTGGTGCTCCTTCCTGCTGTCTGCTAGTTGCCATGCCAGGGCAGAGGGACTGGACGAAGCGCTGTCGACAACCGTGAGTCGAGGGTTTCGGGTTGGGTTCGGTCAAGGGTTATCAGGGTGTAGGGCAGAGTCCGAGGGTAGAGGGTCCAGGCTTTCATCTACTGCCTTCCAGCCTCGCGTTCTTTCAGAGAGGCGCGCAAGGCGTCCAGATGGTGACACGCGTCGGTTCCAGAGTCCCTCATCCCGCCGCTTCCTCCGTGTCCCCCCGCCTGTCCATCACTCCTGTCTCCCCAGGTGGCGCGCGTGCAGGTGCACGGCATCTCGGACAGGGAGCTGGCCATGGCGCGGGTGCAGTATCTGGCGGACATAGAGTCGGCGTATGTGGAGCGCGAGCAGACGTACAGCGAGTCGCTGAGGGACGAGTACCTGCAGCACTTCCTGCGGGACGAGCCGTCGCCCGGCATCGAGTACGAGGCGCGCCTGGCCAAGGCTTTGTTGCCAGGTATGTGGTGATGTTTCTCGCTGGTATGTGTTGCCCGCTTTACAGTAGGACACTCCGAGACGAGTACCTCCACTTCCTGCGGGAGGTGGTTTTTGAGTCGACTCAAAAACCACCTGCTGGTATGTGTTGCCCGCTTTACAGTAGGACACTCCGAGACGAGTACCTCCACTTCCTGCGGGACGAGGCGTCGCCGGGGATTGAGTCCGAGGCACGACTCGCAAAGGCGCTGCTGCCAGGTGATCTTGGCTTTCCTGTCACATGTGACGCGCGCTGTGCTGCTACCAGGTGATTTCAGAGAAGAGAAGAATACCTGCAGCCCGCAGTGGGTGGTGAAGGCTGTGGAGATAGGGGAGTCACCTGTCTTGTCGCCCGTTTCCGGCCCCCCCTCCCTTCGCCTTCGTCTTCCAGGGATAATAGCATCAGAGGTGGCAGCGGTGGCGGGGCACATCTCCCCCGGCAACAGCTGCGTGATCAAGATAGTGGAGCCACCTCTCTTCCCTCCCTGTCTCCTCCCGCCCTTCCCTCTTGCTTGCTTCCAGGGATCACAGCAGCAGAAGTAGCAGCGGTGGCATCCAACATCTCCCCCAGCAACAGCTGCGTGGTCAAGATAGTGGAGCCGAGAGCGCAGGCCACAGTAGAGGCGATCAGAGGGGTGATTGACCGCGTTATGCAAGCCAAGGAAGCCACACTGCTGGCTGCTGCCGCTGCTGCTGAGAGGATGGGAGAGGGAGAGGGGGAGGAGGCGGCAGGAGCGGTGGAGAGTGGTGGGGAGGCAGGACAGGAGGGGGAGGAAGTGAGGGATGTGGAAGGGGAAGGTGCGGGGGCGGCAGCTAAGGAGGAGGGAGAAGCGTCAGAGTCCAAAGCAGAGTTGGCAGAGGCAGTGGTTGGTGCGGATGCCGCAGCCATGCCAGGAACAGCAGCAGCAACTGCAGTAGCAACCACAGCAGCAGTAGCAGCAGCAGCAGCAGCGGGGGGGGATGGAGCAACAGTGGCGCTGATAGAGCCATGGACGCTGGACGACATCCCTGAGAGCATCGTGCAGACGCCTCCTGTCCCGGGGTGAGTGCAAACGCCTCCTGTCCCGGGGTGAGTGCAAACGCCTCCTGTCCCGGGGTGAGTGCAAACGCCTCCTGTCCCGGGGTGAGTGCAAACGCCTCCTGTCCCGGGGTGAGTGCAAACGCCTCCTGTCCCGGGGTGAGTGCAAATGCCTCCTGTCCCGGGGTGAGTGCAAACGCCTCCTGTCCCGGGGTGAGTGCAAACGCCTCCTGTCCCGGGGTGATTGACGACGGCGAGTGGCTCAGAAGACGGGTGGGTGTAGAGCCGTCTAGCAGCACCCTAGTGTGACCTGCGCTGGGGGGAATGGTTCCCGTGTGATGGAGCGTGAGCGTGAGCGTGAGCCTGGCCTGGAGGCTGCTCGCCTGCACTGGGAGGGGCATCCCAGCTTACGGGCCTTTCCCTCACCCACACCGTGCCCCCCCTTTCCCTTGTTTCGTTGCTGTAGAGAGGTGCAGGAGCAGCTGGAGTATCCGGGCGTGGGGGCCACGGAGCTGCGGCTGTCCAGTGGCTTGCGAATGGCGGACACATGGTTGTATTCCCTTCTCGTTATTCACCCAACCCGCCCTGCTTCCCCCCTCGTTTTCCTGCAGGGAGGTGCAGGAGCAGCGGGAGTACCCGGGCGTGGGGGTCACAGAGCTGCGGCTGTCCAACGGCATGCGGGTGGCCATCAAGTGCACTGACTTCCTCGATGACCAGGTGAGGGGAGGGCGATGACCGCTGTTGACAATCGTTGACTTGACGGCCAGGTGAGGGGTTGACTGCTGCTGTTGACCACTAATTTCAGTTTCACCCTGTAGACTCTAATTTCAGTTTCACCCTGTAGACTCTAATTTCAGTTTCACCCTGTAGACTGTTGCCCCTGGTGATAATTATTGCATAAATGCCTAACTTGTCTGTTATACATTCAGCTGCATTGATTGGGTGAGGTGAGATGGTGTTGACCGACGCCCGTCGACCATGAACAAGAAAGTCGTGCACTTGTACAGTGCATGCAATCTGGTGACCTTCTACCTTGGTGTCAGCTTCGGTGACTTCTGCTGGCTGCTGGTGGATGGCTGTGTGTGGGAGGCTCTAGGAAATAGCGGGAGGCAAGGTTGGCAGTGAGGCTGATGCAGACGGGGAGACTGAGTGAGAGGGAGTGGGAGAAGTGAGAGTAGGGAGGGAGCAAGAGGGGGGTTGAGCGGAGGGAGCAGCAGGAGGGTCGTGAGACAGGGGAAGCAGTTGGTAGAGTGGCGGTCGAGTGACTCAAGACTCACCTGCGCCTCCTCCCTTCTCCTGTGGCTGTGTGGGGTGGTGGGGGCAGAGAAGAGAGGAGCAGCGGCTGAAGGCGCTCGAGGAGGCAGAGGAGGATTGGCCGGAGAAGGGGCAGGCGGGGGAGGGGAAGGGAGGAGGAACGGATGGGGGAGGAGGCGTGCTGCTGCCAGTGGGGGACGGACCATGCGTGTGCTCGTGCCAGCACTGCTTGCAGTGGCGTCAAGGCTGCAAGTGCGTCTCGCTTCTCCTCTCTCCGTGCCCACACCAGCAAGGGGCAACGTGTTGCTACCCGTCCAATACAGACCAGCGATTGGGTCTCTCTTCCCTTCGGTCCAAGCAGCAGCAGCAGGGGAACGTTCCCCCCTGGCAGTGGCAGCTGGCGCATTGCCTGCAGCTGCTGCAGAGTGGGGGCTCTGTGGCGGGTGCGCTTGGGGGAGGATGGACGGCTCGGGAAGGAAGGAGGGAGGGGCAAGAGCTGGGAGATGGAGGGGGGAAGAGAGGAGGTGGAGGAGCAGTGTGCAGTGATGAGGCGTGTGCTGGTGTTGACCATGCTCTTTGGGCCCTGGAGGCAGCGCTGCACAGGGCGGAGAGTGAGTGCACGGAGGGTAGACGGAATCACTCCTCCCTCTGCCCTTCCGCCAACCAGCTTCTCCCTTTGGCTGCACGGTCTGAGCTGGAAAGGTTTTTGCTGACGTGGCTTGATGCGCCAACGCTGCCCCAAGAAGGTGCCATGTCATCATCAGTGTTGGTAGTCAGGCTGCTGACTCAGATTGCACTGCTGCTGACAAGGTACGAATGGGCCGGTGCTGTTGCTGCTGCTGCCAGTGCTGGTGGTGGTTGCGAGCAGGGTGGCAGGGGTGCGGATGGGGCTCCATGTGCGAGCCAAGCTTCAAGGGAGCACCCCTGCCATTGCGCTTGCGCCTGCGTGCGAGCTTGGATGGAGTGTGGCAGACGAGTGGGATCCACAGCAGCTGCAGCAGCAGAAGCATCTGGGAGGCTTCCACTCTCCTCTGGAGCTTGTTTGGCTCCCCCTGGAAATTCTGATGCAGCGAGTGCAAGTGCAAGCGCCCATGCCATTGCATTCTTCCTTGCCCGCCTATTCCCCATCCCTCCTCCCAATACCCCCCCAAACGCCACTGCTGCCACCACCACCACCACCACCAGCACCACCGCCACCACCACTACCACCGCCACCACCACCATGGCAGCTGCTGCTGCTGCTGCTCTTCAAACCCTTCCCTGGCCCCTCTCAGAGCAGCTGGTGCGCTCCACTACAGTCACACTTAACGCATTCAGTGCTGCCACCCAATGTGCACCTGTGCACGATGTCGCTCTGCCACCCCTTACCCATGCTGCGCCCATGCCATCCGCCACAGCCACCGCTGCTTCTGCCGCTACTGCAACTGCTGTGCTGCCTGGCGCTGCTGCTGCCACTCACCTGCTGCACTTGCTCTCCCTCGCCCCCCCTGCCCTCTCCTCCCTCATCCACGCGCTCTCCCGCCACCCCTGCCACCGAGTGCGCATACAGCTGGTGGACCTCTCTCTAGCCGTGGCCCGACTGCTGCGAGGGCAAGAGGAATTGCTGCCTGTGCTTCATCCTTCCACCTCCCTTTTCACTGCGTACGCCTGTCACCTCTCGTCTGCTCTCCTCCTCGCAACCAATGACAGTGTGCCAGGTGTCCGCGCTGCAGCTCTGGGGGCTTTGGGGGATGTTCCCTGGGTGGTGGTAGCAGGAGGAAGGAGCGCAGGGAGAGGAGGTAGTGAGGACGGGGAGGAGAGGAAGGTGCGAGGGGGCTGGAGAGAGGAGGTGTTGCATGGGGCATCAGAAATGGTGGGAGGCGGGTCCTCGCGCCCGGCTTGCGACAGCAATGGGGATGGTGCGCTGCTGGCTGCAGTGGCAGGCGTGGTGCAGCGCGCATGTGAGGGCATGGAGGACGACTATGAGGAGGTGCGCCTGCAGGCCATACGGCTCGCGGGGATGGTGGTGGCGTGGGTGCGAGGGGGGGGAGCAGCGTTGCTGCTGCGGGAGCGAAAAGGTGGTCAAGTGGTGGGAGGGGAGGCAGGGGAGGGAGAGGGAAGGGAGAGAGAGGGGGAAGCTGGTGGCAGGCAGCCAGGGCAAGGCAACGAATCGTGGCCGTCCATATTTCCGTGCACATCTCAGCCATCCGGTGCTCGTGAGCCTATGGTTTTCTCCCGCCACCCAGTCACCTGGCAGGCCGTGTCTGACTTCACGTTCCTCGCCCTGTCTGCGCGCGCCACCGACCCCTCTCCTGCCGTCAGATGCGCTGCGCTCCGCACCACTGCTGCCCTCGCTGCTCCACTTCTTTCCCACGCACCTGCCATCGCCCCTCCTGCTGCTGCCTCCCTTGCTCTCCGCCCTCCTCCGTGTCTCTCCGCTCTCCCCCCTGCCCCCTGCGAGGCTGCTCTTCTGCAGGCCTTCTCCAAGAAGCTCAAGCACCCGCGCCCTCCGTCCCTCTGCCCGCTGCCCTCACTCTTCAGCCCCAACCTGCTCCACCACCCGGAGCAGCAGCAGCTGGGCGGGCGGAAAGCTAAGCGCAAGAGGCTGCAGGAGGAGAGGAAGACGCAGCAGCAGCAGGAGGAGAGGAAGTTGCATCAGCAGCAGGAGGGGGGGAAGCAGCACGAGAGGCAGCAGCAGCAGCAGCAGCAGCAGGGAGGGCAGGGCGAGAGCGAGGAGTCCAAGTGGGCGCAGTGCCTGAGGGAGGCAGCAGCAGGGGCCGTGGTGATGGGCATGGAGGACGACTACAGGCCCGTGAGAGCCGCTGCTGTTGCCGCTGCTGCTGCCATGGCCACGCCCCATGCTGCCCTCTCGCTCTCCAGCCCATCCAACCCAGCCCGCCTTCCCCTTCTTCCCTCACTCTCCTCCCCCTCGCCCTCGCTGCGGGTGGCTCTTGAGGCATGCTCGCATTTGATTGGAGGATGCAGTGATGATGTGGCGGCGATCCGAGCGCTCTCTCTGCGATCTCTCTCGCAGCTGGTGCTGCTGTGGGGCTCGCCGCTCTCCCGCTTCCTCTCCTCATCGCCCATCCCTGTCGTTGCTGCTGCTGCTGCTTCTGTTGCTCCTGCTGCTCCCGCTGCCACTGCTGCTGGAGCTGGCACTGTTGGCAGTGGGGGTACTGCTGGCATTGCCAGTGCCGATGGGCTGCACACCACCCAATTCGCCCCTCCGCCCCTCCAGGAGCCTCTCCTAGTGCCCTCAGACGCCCCCAAGCTCACACCCACCCCAGTCGCCACCTCCCCCAGCGTTGCCACTTCCGGCTCCACTCTCTCGTACTCGCAGCTAGTTTCCACCTCCCCCGGTCGCCGCCTCTCCACTCTCCTTGCCTCGCTTCAGGACAAATCACCAGCTGTGCGGGCAGCGGGTCGCCGTCTGCTTGCGGTCCTGCGGCCGGCGCACTCAGGGGGAGTGCGGGCGTGTGTGCGGGCGTTGCTGGGGAATATGGAGAGGGCGTTGAGGGAGGGGGGAGAGGAAGAGGAGGACGAGGGGGAGGGTAGTGATGGAGAGGAGGAAGTGGGAGGAGAGATGGGAGTGGTGGATGAGGGTGGTAGTGGGGGAGAATGGGCGACACAGGGAGGTGTGGGAGGAGGAAGGAAGAGGGGAAGGGAGAGAGGCATGAGGGGGAAGGAGGTACAGGAGGTGCTTGGCACTCTGGCAGCGATTGGTGCTTCCTGCAGTTGCCACGTGGCAAACATGGCTGCTGAGCTGGCAGCTGACGTGGCAGCCCTGAAGGCTGGCAGGGGCGCAAGAGCAGCCACATCCAGTGGCTGTGTGCCTATCGTCCAGCCGCCCCTCCCTTCCTCTCGCCACCCCTTTGGTGCCAGGGCGGAGGGGAGGAGAGGGATAAAGAGAGGGAGAGGGACGGCAGGGCAGCGAGCAGAGGAGGGGTATCTGGCCGGGTTGTATGCGCTGCTGACGTCAGCAGCCAAGGCACAGCCGTTCCTCCCAAGCGTGCTGCCCTGTGGATTGCTGCAGCACGCGCAGCTGTTCACACAGGCCGTGCTGCTGGGGTAGCGCTGGGAGCATGCAGGGCCGTAACCAATGGGCGTGCTGCTGGCGTTGCTTTCACTGTCTCAGGCACCTTGAGTCGGCTGCATCTGCATCGCGCGTGCCGCACTGCCGGGCACGTGCTAGTTTTGAGGCGCCTCAAAACTACACTGGCGGGCACATGCTGATCTCGCTGGTGGCGGGCACGTGCTGATCTCGCCGGTGTAGCGTCTCTAGAGGGGCTGCCTTGTTTGGCTGGCGCAGCAGGGTGCAGGGGAGGTGAGGGAGGCGAGGGATGGTGATGGGATTGACCGTTGGGTTTGTATTGGCTGCCACGCTGCTACTTCCTCATCCAGCCTTCCTTCAGCTTGCCGCCCACTCCTTCTCCTCCCCCCCTTGCCTCCACTGCTTGTTTCTCCATCTGCCCAAGCGCACTAGGCAGGGTCCCTCTGTGCTGCTCCCTGCTGCTGTGTCCCCCAGGTCTTGGTATCCAGCTACGCCCACACAGGTTTGCCTCAAGTGCCCTATGCAGAATTCCGCACGGCGGCCATGGCGCAGAGCATCGCAGGGGCGGTGGGCACACTGACCCCATGCATTACGGTCCCTATCAACCCCATCTCCCCCCCAGATCCTGATATCGGGTTACGCATACGGAGGTCTCTCCGAAGTGCCCTATGCACAATACCACACAGCGGCCATGGCGCAGACCATCGCCGGGGAGGTCGGCATATTCGGCCACCCGCCAGCTGTCATGGCGGAGCTGCTGGCCGGCAAGCGCGTGGAGGTGGGCGGCAAGCTCTCGTCCTACATGCGCGTGTTCTCGGGGGAGTGCTCGCCTGATGACCTCGAGACGGCCCTGCAGGTGCGGTGACTTGGAGTGTGTGTGCTGCCCAAGCCCAGTCATTGCCCCGTGCATCCTAAATCGTAGGCACTCCAGCACAGCTGGCAGGCACGCCGTGGCACCTCCATGCTCATCTTCATTCGTGCCTCCACCCGCCCCGTTTGTCCTGCCTTGCCCACTCCATTTGCCTTTTCTCGCCGTGCTCCCTCACGGCTAGTGTACCCATTCTTCACATGCCGCATCAGGGCGGAGCACAAAGGCGTGGCGCTCACCATGCAGACGACCAAGGAGGCAGTCATGCTGCACATCATGCTGCCTTGCCTCACATTCCTCCCTCCCCCCCCTTCCCTCCCAACCCCGCCTCCCCCCCCCTCCCCCTGGCAGCTGGTGTACCAGCTGTTCACGTGCCGCATCACAGCGGAGCAGAAGGACGTGGCGCTGATCATGCAGATGACGCGCGAGGCTGTCAGGGCGCAGAGGCGGGACCCCTTCACGGCGTTTGCCAACCGCGTGCGGGAGATCAGCTACGGCAGCAGCTACCAGTTCAAGGTGGGGCGGGGGGTTCAGGGTTCTGGGTGATACCAAGGACAGCTGCCACCGGTTGAGTTCAGTGTGAGGCCACAGAGGAGATCAGCTACAGCAGCAGCGACCAGTGTAAGGTGGGGCATGGGCAAAGGCAGCACATGGACCCTGCGTTCCTCCTATGCTCTTTTTCCACACGCTTCCCTCCGCTCATCAGTGCACTGACCTGGTATCCCGCCATCCCACTCGCCTTTCCACACAATCTCCGTTTGCCCCGTGTATCTCCCCTCTCCCCCTCTCCCCCTCTCCCCTTCTCCTGGCAGCCAATCACAGAGGCGGATTTGAGGCGGGTGGATTTCAAGCGGGCGTGTGAGTACTTGGAGAGGGCGTTCAAGGACCCCACGCCCTTCACCGTGGTCATCGTGGGCAACACCCGCCTCGCTGCTGCCCTTCCACTCATACAACAATACCTGGTGAGGGGAGAACGCACGGACTCAGGTAGCAAAGAGAGGGACAGAGAGACGCTGGGAAGCATTGTGGGCAAGTGCAGCATTCAAGGACCCTGCGCCCTTCGCTGTTGTCATCGTGGGTAACATGGCTCAGTGCCGCCCTGCCGCTCATGCGGACCTGGTGAGGGCAACTGATATGTTAGTCAAAACACGAGTACTAGGCAACCCGCGAGGGATAAGGGAAGTCGGTATGGCCGGGTTGGTGAGATGTGCTGGGTAGAGGAAGTCGGTTGTAGTATGGCGGGGATGGTACTGCAGCAACTAGAATAATCCACTCGTTCCTCGCCCGCTCACTCACTCTCACTCGGGCACTCACAATCACAATCACAATCACAATCTCAATCACAATCTCAATCGCAATCGCAATCACAATCGCAATCACAATCTCAATCTCAATCACAATCACAATCTCAATCACAATCACAATCGCAATCGCAATCGCAATCGCAATCGCAATCACAATCGCAATCACAATCGCAATCGAAATCACAATCACAATCAAACACAATCACAATCTCAATCACAATCTCAATCTCAGTCACAATCACAATCACAATCGCAATCACAATCACAATCACAATCACAATCAATCACAATCTCAATCACAATCACAATCAATCACAATCACAATCACAATCACAATCATGCCTTCTCTCCCTGCCGTCTTGCCATGCCACCCCCAATGCCAAACGTCAGGGTGGCATCCCAGTGCCCCCACCAGATGACGCCATGCCTCGCTACGAGCGCGACTCACTCACACCGCTGCCATTCAAATTCCCTGACACACTCATCAGGTGCGCCTGGGGCGGGTAGTACTGGTTGGCATGTGACTATTCCGAGTGCAGCCTTATCTGGTTGTGGCTATGTTAACAATGTCTGATTCGGGCCCATTCAGGAGGCACTAACATCAGGTGCACGTGCAGCCATCAGGTGTGCGTGTGTCCCGGCACTGAAGGATCGGCTCTCTCTTTCTCTGTGGTTCTGCCACCTGTGCGTGGCATGGCAGGGAGGAGGTGCGGCGAGTGATGGTGGAGGCGCAGGGCTCCACGCAGATCACCTTTCCCCTCGACATCCATGCTGGACCTAAAGTGGTTAGTGCGCTGCCATGCCATGCCATGCCATGCCATACCATGCAAGTGCGTAACACCACTCCACGCATATTGGCATCCACGCGTATTGCCATGCCACGCCATGCAATCCAGTGATTTACTTGAGAATGCCATGCCCTGCCACCTTCCTTGATGCTTCCTGGCAGTTCGTATGTGTCGTTTGCTGCTGCCTTTTGTCTCATTTTCCGCATGTTCCTATGGTGCTGTATGCCATGTGATCCTATGTCATGGGACTGTACGCCAGGTGGAGGAGACCATGTGGGTGGGCTTCCTCACGAAGCTCCTAGAGACGCGCATCATGCAGCTGCTGCGCTTCAAGCACGGCCAGGTCACGCCCTTGCTACTCCTCCCATCGCCCACCTCACACCAGCCTGTCGTCCCTGTCCTGTTGCCTTCCCCACCTGCACTCTCCCTGAGGACCCATTGTCCTCCCCCCCTCCTTCACCAGCACACCTTTCACTCCACTCCAACCTTCTCGCCCTCTCACCGTTTCCCCTGCCACCGTCCTCCCATGCGCCCCTCTCTCCCGGCAGATCTACACCGTCGCAGCGTCTTCCTTCCTGGGCGGGGCGCGCCCCTCTCGCGAGGGTGGCGTGAGGGGCGACCTGGCAGTTGCGTTCTCCTGCGACCCCAAATCCGCGTGGTCGCTGGTACGGCCTCTGCTCTCCGGTGCTGCTCTGCTATGTTGGTCCCCGTGCTGCTCTCTGCCTTGCTTCCTGCAGCCATGTCTGCCATCACTCGTTTTGAGCCCTCCCCCACACCACACAAGCAAGTGAACTCTGTTCCACCCTCCCCCCCCCACACCTTCCGCCCATCGCCTCCCTCCCACCAGGTGGACCTGAGTGTGGCGGAGATGGATCGCCTGCAGCGGGAGGGTCCGTCGGAGGAGGATGTGTCAACGGCGCGGGAGTTGGAGCAGCGCGCGCACGAGATGGGGCTGCAGGAGAACGGCTTTTGGCTCGACCGCGTGGTGCGCGCGTACCAGACGCGGCTCTATGATGGCAACGTTGACCACTCGTTCCAGGTAAGGCGCTTCTATTCACATGCATACCAGGTAGGATTCTCTACCAAGCATTGTGCACAAGGTTGTCATGGGTGCATGTAGTTAACGTGTACACTGCTGTCCCGTTGGCAGTGGGTTACCTGTGCCCAACTACAGGCAACATTCTTGCTCCTCTTCCATCTCGCCTTACATTGTTTGTGCACCATCGCCACATCTTCCTCAACTGCCCACGTCCCTTGCCGCTCCCATCAGGCACTGGAAGATATTCGTCTGACTCTCATCAGCCAGCTCAGCGCTGACTCGGTCCGTGTCATGCTGACTCAGCTACTACCAATGCCGTGCTCAAAGCAGTACACTGCGGTCAGCCTTGTCCCCACGCAGCCTCTCTGGCGTCGCCTCCTGTCCCTGCCGCCCAAGCAGCACCCAGGCCTCACGTCAGAATCCAAGGTCAGCTGATTCTCTCACTTCTAAGCTGTTCGCTCAGTCGTCATCTCCTTATCTTTCAGTCTTTCTCACTGGTCTTTCTCACAACGTTTTTTCTTCCACCTCCCAATATTTCAGGCACTGCTCGCGGTGCTGGCTGCTGCCGCCATTGGTGTGGTCGTGTGGCGGTGCAGGCCGAGGCATTAACACCAGAGAGGACAGCGTATGACACCACTTGGCAGTACCTGGCCGAAATTTGTTTTGTCGAACAAGGGATATATGTACCTGATTTTGACATGGATTTCAAGTGAATATGGAAAGCTTTTCCCGCCTTATGTGTTGTAGGGTGTACAGTCCGGTGCTTGGTTCAGGAGCAGGCCCCAAGATTCGTTTTTAGGCACGCTGATTTATCATCCTTGCCCCCCATACTTAGGCTGATTTCTCAGCCCCCCCCTGGAAAAAAAGGCTGAATGTTACAACCTTGACTAAAAAAGTTTTGCTGAATGTTCAGCCTTGGTACAAAAAAAAACACTGAAACTTCACGAAGTCACTTTCATTAATGAGTCATTACATTTCATCTTCGACGTCTACATAAGCATCTAGTTTCCCCCCATCATCCATGGGGTCACTACAATCATCATCATCCACCTTCTCCTTGCCCTTCCTGCTCTGGGGACGGGGCCGACATGTGGAATGGGGCCTCCTCTTCTTGTAAGCCCTCCAGATCTCTACTACAGCGGGGTAATCCGGGGTATAGTCTAGCATAGACATCACCATGAGATCGCTAAGCCGGGCATCCTTGAGGCTGCCGCGCTGCCAGCTCTTGATCAGGTTCTGGCGGGAGAAGCCACGCTCGCACTCGACAGTGCTGAGAGGCAGCACGGCCACCGCCACCCACAACCCCACGAGATTGGGGTAGTGGATCTTCCAGTCGCTGGTCTTGAGCACAGCGGTGAGGCCGGCATAGAACTTGCGGTCGACGGTGGTCAGCCATGCGAGCATGGGAGCGAAGTGGCGAATCTCCTTGGCCGCCCTCCTCTTGTTAATGCCTGGAGGGGGCGGGAAAGACGAGCAGGGGATTTTAAGAGGTTTGAAAGATAAGATAGTCCAAGGAATCTCAACATGCGTAAAAAGGGAGACGGAACACAAAGCAACTTAGACGGTAGATAGCACCTGGCAGAATCTCTTCGCTATCCTCCGCTTTGTAGAGCTGCACCAGCAGGTCAAACCACTCCAGGCACTGCTTCTGCCTGGCGGAGCGCTCCCAGTTTGGCGGCCAGGTGTCAGCAGAGAAGAGGCGACATCCCGCGAGCTGTTCCAGGTCCCCGAGACGCTCGTCCAAGCCCTTCAACAGCCCCTCAGCAAAGGCCGTGCAGTCGTCGACACAGGCCTCGTGTGTTCCCTCCCCGGGGTAGCCGTCGATCTCTTCAAAATGGAGTCTTACGGTGATGCGGACGGGACGGCCATCAGATGCAACTCCGTCAACGGTGACTTCTGGAGTACCGTTTGGGCCGTGACGGGTGAGGAACTGGCCGAGCCGCGACATCTCGGTGCCGCCAAAGTCGTCGCCGCAGTCGACATATCGGCTCTCCAGCAACCCGGTAGTCTGCGCGATCTGGCTGGCGACGGTCGCGTAGTCCAGCTGCGAGGAGAGGTGTTCACGGGGCGAAGGTGGGTGGAGAAATAAGAGACAGGATAACATGATAAGCATATGCACGTGCTTGAGAAAGACGCACCTCCCGCTGCTGGAACACCTTGTTGAGGATGTTGAGCTGCTCAAGAACATCAGCCAGAAAGTGCAAAAAGAACCAGAAACGATAGCTCCGAACAATAGCCAGCAACTTCGAGTTCCTCAGCTCCGTGACCATGACCAGCACAGCTGGTAGCACATCCAAAAGACGGAGGATCGCCTCACCGCGAGAGAGCCATCGGATGGCATGGATCCCCTGCACTTTCCAGGTTGGTGTCGTTGAACATCTGCTGCAGGTCCTTGAAGCGTTGATGCCAGGGTCCAGAACGACCGAGGAACTCTGCAATCTCCTTGATGAAGTCGTCGACGATGCCGAAACTCTTCATCTCTTCCGCGGCATCCTTGGCCGCCAGCGCCTCCCTGCAAGTACAAAACGAATGTGTTAAAACACGTCTCGCGGGTATACGAAAGCGGGAAACTCCTAAATAACACTTACCGATGGGTGATGCAGTGGCATGACACGAGGTGTGGGACAAGCACTCTCAGTCGAGCGACAAGGCCACGCGTCTTCCCGAGCATGACGGCAGCGCCGTCAGTACTGATGCCGGAGATTCGGCGTAGATCCACACCAATAGCCTGGATGTGGGACAACAACAGCGAGAGCAACGAGGCAGCGTCAGCCCTGTCAACTGTGAGGAGCGCAAGGAGTTCCGTCACTTGACGGTTCTCCCGAATGAAGGTGGCAAACACAATCATGTGTTTGCCACGACAGCGGTCGGTGCTCTCATCGAGACCGAGGCCGATGAAGGGGCTGGCCAGGAGGTGTTCAAGCTGAGTGGTCTGGAGCCATGTCGCGAGGCCTTGTGTGAACTGGCCGAAGCCATACCTGCCATGGTATCACAAAAAGAGAGATGAGGACATGAAAAAGTCGCGAATGCAGATAAAAACTAAACACGGTCGGAGACTTACGAGTTGTAGTACGTTTCGTAGCCTTGCTCTGGAAAGCCGCGGAATTTCCGCTCCGCCAGGTATCGCGTGAGACGAATCCATGTCTCCAACGGCTCGTTGCAGCGGCTGCAAAAGTAGAGCACGTCGAGCAATGAAGACACGTGAAGCAGCTCCAGGTCTTGAGCAAGCGGGTTTTGGTCGATGCGTTGTTGGTTGGTCGTCATCTGCAGCAAGTCGATTTGCTTGGCCACCGCGAGCTCATGTCGAGTAGTCGCAGCATGCTTCTTGAACGCTTGGACCTGCACGTCGGTCGCTCCGTGCCCGCTCCTGCCAGTTTTCCCCTTCAGACCTGCATGTTCGGTGCACACAGAGCACTTGAAAGCGGGCAGGCCGCTGTCAGTTTTTGTGATGAGCAGCCATGGATAGGCCATAGACCAGCGGGATTGGAAGCGGTCCAACGCGTCGGCATATGTTTCTTCTGGCGTCAGCCTCTTCCGCCCAGCAGACGGCACCTCTGCCTCTTCCTCGTCGTCGTCGGAGTCGGAAGCGGCAGGCTCGCAATCTTTCGCCGGAGGTGCAAAAGACAGTCGTATCTGTCGATAACGGCCAGTGCGAGGGGTGGGCTTCGCGGCAGTCGGCGACGCTACAGAATCTAGTACAGAAGCTGTACGAGTGGGAGATGATGATAAGAACGGGCTTGCAGGTCGCACGATACGACGTGCTTCTGGCGAAGGAGGGCGACTGGAACCCGGTTCATCGAGATGTGTTGGAAGCGGCGGTGCTAACGGAATACTACCGAGGGACGACAGTAACAGGTCTAGCCCCGTGCGCATTTCGCGCTCGTCGGCGACCTGCCAGACATCGTCGTCGCCTACGTCGTTGTCTCCACCCGATTCCGCCATGACGAGAGGAGCGGAATCAGGGTCCTAAACCATTATTAACAGGCGTCGAGGAAGAAATGACACTGCGGGCCAAGGCAAGCCTACTTCCAGACGATGGAGAACACGCTGGAGCAGACGACCCCTTCAAGAACGCGGTGCGGTTCTGCTGCTGCCCATGCAACGTTCGCGGGGGTACCCCCTTCTGGAATCTTCAGGTGTGCGCTCCGGGGGAGCATCTTTTCTGCACTGCTGTACCAGCGATTATGCAGCTGAGTCACAGAAAGCTCTGGCGATTTGTTTACTTAGCTGAAATTTGGCTAACACCCAATCACAATGCGCTGTCGCTAGTGTGCTAGCAACGGTGGAGGGGAATCCGCGTCAGATATCACGCCGACAGCCCAACATTGCAGCCACGCGGCGTGATTGACGGGGGTAAACCTGTCACTTAGCGGTAATCGCGGGGGGCCCCCGAAACACAATATACTCGGTTTCAGTCTCACCCCCAGGGAGTGCGCTGAAACCTCAGCCTACACTCTAGAAAAAAGGCTGAAAACATCAGACTAGGCTATAAAAAAAAGTCTGAAATTGACAGCCTTACCTATAATAAAAAGTCTTTCAGTTCAGCCTTGGTACAAAAAAAAAGCCTGAAAAAAGGCTGAATCAGCGTAAAAAGGCTGATATCTAGGGGCCTGTTCAGGAGTCTTTCGAACCTACCTAACCAAAATCTTTCAGGTGAGGGTCTTTTGGCGGTGCTTCTCCAGAGAGTAATCTCTGGAGGTGTGGATAATTCCATAGCAGAGCTGAGTGCGCACTAGGTGTGTCCCGTACTTACGTTTCTGGCTAAAAACTCTACCTAACCGTTCCAGGTCGATATTGTGAGAATATTAGAATGAATAGAAACATGAGAGAACAAGGGAGATATAGTGTTGGGGTTGTACCTATCAAAGTTAACGAATGACTAGAAAGGTGGGGTACAAGGGAATATAACCTTGTAGGTTGTAGTCTATAAGGCACAACCCTATATAGTCTATAATAATATACTAAGATATGTTTGACACACCCCCTAGACTGGATAGGGGCAGTGCCTGATGAGAGACAAGTAGCTCAGGGTGGCACTACTAGTCCAACATCTGAGACAAGGGTCTGAAGACCAGTCAAACAAGTACAGACAAGGCACGAGCAAAACCAGGTCGGCACTACTAGAAAGAGTGAATGATGGATTAGTGTGAGAAACCTAGAACATGTACCTGTTGGGGTAACACTCACTAGAAGTACACACCTAGACTAGCCTATAACTTCTACATACAGCATATGTATAAGTTGACACACCCCCTAGGCTAGAGAAGGGGTGGTGCTAAGCAAGAAGCACACATCTCAGGGTGGCACTACTAGTCCAACCACTGAGGTAGGCGTCCGGAGACCAGTCAGCAAGAGTACAAGCAAGACTAAAGCAAGCCAGGGCGGCACTACTAGTCCAGCCACAGGAGGTAAGGCCACAAGGCCAGTCAGACAGGTATATATAATAGAGAGTACACAATCACGGTCCTAACAGGTGAGTACCTACAGGAACAAGACCAAGCTGTACACAGTGCCGCTGATGATCTTTAGGCCCAAGCGCCTTAGTAAAGATATCAGCTGTGCTGGCACCTGAGGCTAAGTGAACTACGTGGGCCTGGCGACGTTGCTGTAACTCGCGTAGGAGGAAGTACCGCAGCTGGATATGCTGCGCTCTGCCCTCAAGCCGAGGCTCCTAACACAGGAGAATCATGGCCCTGTTGTTAGTGTACAGGACCAGGGCAGAGCTAGGCCGCTCACATAAGTCTGTGAGCAAGAAGGTCAGCCAGCGGAGCTCCTGTGCCGCCATGGCACCGGCGTAGATCTCAGCCTCATAGATGGGCTGAGCAATAGACGACGAGCGAGTGGATCTCCAAGAGATAGCACCCGAACCAAGGCTAAAA